TTTAAAAATGACCATTCAGTGAGTTTATTATTTTTGGCAGTAAATCATTTGGTAACATACAAAAGAATTCAACAATTACTGGTAAACATAAATATCTACCACAGCAAATTTTTAAAATTTTCCTTGAAAGGCAGGAATAATCACAAGCTTAATGAAAGGTCCATAAAAAACTCTTCTGTTCCTGTTATTTAAATTACTTAATATAAGAAATACATTTTCTTTTCCTCACAAATAACAATATATTTGAATTCTGAGAATATAAATGGAAGCATAATTTAACATACGGAGATTCTGCAAGGATGGGTGTGGTACAAATTTCTAGATAAGGTGTACAGTACTTGCCCTGCTATAACTTAATTTGTGTCAACACTTATAAGAATGTTTTTCTACGCTGTAAAATTTCACCCTAGGCTGAAAGCCACACACAGTCATTTAGTTAAATAGTGAGCCTATTAATTAATGCAGAAGGATAGTTTATCCATTAAACCCAATCATACAGAAGTCATCCACATCACAATAATGAATGCAAACCTGAGTCACACTTAAAGGATATACTCATTCAAGCATGTATAAACAGAATCCATCCCTAGAACAAGTGCAATATCTGTTCTTTAGTTTAACATGTTAGATGCATTTAATATGCAGGTGTAGACAACAGGCATAGTTCCAGTTTTTTAGTGCTCAGTTCCTTTTTTTGGATCTGGTCCTAAATTCTAACCGCACAGCTTTCTGCAGATATTTTCTTGAGCAGTAAACAACCTTAATAATTTTCCTCTGCCAAAAACTACACTTAACTAGCCAAGACTTTAAAAAAAACAACAACCACCCTGCCTCAAATAAATAAATAAATAAATAAATACATACCTTTTAAAACATACTTACTTGCATTTAGGACAAAATTAGAAAAGAAAGAAAAACCCACAATGCACTGCAATTTTATACACAGAGGGTTCATCTACATGTGATGTTTACTGCAAAGCTAATTAGACAATTGGCTCTGCAGTAAACATCTCAGCATCTACATGTGTGGTCATATTAGACCACAGGAAACTAATAAATTCTGCAGCAGGTTAGTACTTGTAAATACAAGTACTATCCTATTGCAGTGTTTTTTTTGTGTGCTGTAATGTACGTGTAGACTCTGACAGGGCTGGCTGGGGCATGAGGGTGTCTCAGTGGGAGGGAAGCACCCTTATGTCCCAGCCAGTCCCTCTGCAGCATGCTGAGCCAGGTCAGAGCAGCCCCAAGCTGGCAGGCTGATCCACCCACAGGCCTTCTGCCAGCACAGGCTGTTCTGACCCTGCTCAACATGCTGCAGTCCTGGGCACATATGTAAACATGGTACCTAGAACCTATAAATTCCAGCACGAGATGCAACAGAATGTATTACTATGCATTAATATGCAGGTGTAGATGCAACCAAAACAACCCTAAAAAGTTGAGCTACTTGAATTAAAGGGATGGGATGGGAGAGGGACACCCTTATTCCTCTGTTAATGTACTAGGAATTTAAACAGAGGCCAATGTAAAATATTACATCTCACTGAACAGATGAGTGCTCTCTGCCTATTTAGTCATATCTCACTGCTTTAAATGTTAAGCAGCAAGATTTTACTACTTTTTAAACTGACAGCGTGAACCTGATTTTTTGTAGCTCAGGTATCATGGACAGAATTAACTGAAGGCTAGACCCAAGGATAGACTTCAGAATTGCAGCATTATGCACTGCAGTGCCTTTTAGATGTCTGGCCCCTGGAGTAAAAAGCCCAACCTGCATTAGGCAATAGGCTCTCTTATACAATTCAGGAGGAAAGTTTGGGACTGCCTTGAACCTTGTTCTGAATGAAGACACCTAGTTATTTCTTTAAAAAAAAACAACAAATCGGGAGTTATCCTCTTCTTTTAAAGCCCAGCAATCTAGGGTCAGGTATATTTGTCAAACAACTCACCTGTTATGTGGAAGAGTCAATTAATTCCCTTCTCTGCCTGAAGGCACTAAAACTGACATCTCCCATCTCTCACAAAAATGCCCTGACCAACATTACAGGCAAATCTGGGATAAGGGTCCCCTCTACCCTGTCTACTGAGGACTGTGCCATCAAACTAAAAATAAATGATTGGACATACCTTACCTATATACAAGATAGGCACCAGAATAGTCAGGTCTCTCAAATCTGAGGCAATTCTGGATGTATGCAGAAGTACCTGGGGAACTTTAAAGAACTTCTGGGGTAAAAAAAACTGAGGTGCCATTGGAGGTTATGTGACTCCAAGGTTAGGCAGCAGCCAAAGCGTGATTTTCAGAAGTGCAACTTTAGATTTAAGCACCTAAATTCTTTTTAGCTTCATTTTAGGTGTTTAAAAATGCCTAGACATGTTCATATAAGAAGCAAGAATTCTTGCGAGCGATGTCTTTTATTGGACCAACTGCATGGTTGGTCCAAACAAAGGCAAGCTTTTAGGATTCAATACCCTCCTTCAGACCTCATTTTCAGTCACTTGCAGCTATCTGACTAAATTATATTTTGATAGATCTGACATAATTTTTTCTATTTACCCATGTTACATGCATTGTGCATTTGTTTTATAAATTTAGAAGAGGTTCTTACCTTGAATTTCCCCATTTGGCTACTGGCAGCATCCTAAAACATTTGGAAAACAAAAACAAAAAGATATTAGGAGTGCCTAATTAATACAAAAGCACACAAGAGCTTACTATTTGAAGAACCTGTGTAAATCAGTTTGATTAGGAGATAAAGTTTTGGGAGAAAATTATACAAATAAGTTTCCTTACCACTACTATAGGCTGAACTGAAGATATTTTACAGTTCTTGCCCCCCCAGGCTTCAATGCTGGGATACAGTCCTTTATCAAGTATATACTGCTCTCCTGTAAAGTCAGGATTCTCATAGATGACCCACCTGAAAAAAAGTTTTAAAAATGCTGATGCATACTATAACAAATGGCTAATTGCATCCATTTTCTAAACAATGAGGATAGTATTCACACTGATAAATAAAAACACATTAAAAGAAGCATTAGTATTACAAATACCCTGCTGCCATTATAAAACACGTAAGCACAAAAACTGAGTGAGAGATTAAGAGGCTTTTATGTATTTATTTTAAGGCACAGAATCTGCTGTGTTAGGGAATAATGCTACCAACAGAAATAACTTATTACCTAAAGATTAAATGTTAAAACAAAGTCAAACACATTAACAGATTCTAAGATTTTAAATGGCAGAAATAACATTATGACCATTTAAGTATGACCTCCTGAAATGGTATATTTTCACAAGTGGTTTCTGCATTAAGCCTACTACTTTTGGTCCAGGCAGACCATATCTTTTAGAAAAGCAGCTAACCCTGATTTAAAAACTTCAAGCATTAAATAATATATCCTGCCTACAGGTAGATTGTTTCAACTGTTAATTATCATTACTGTTAAAAATATGCACCTTATTTCTATTCTGAATTTGTCTAGATTTACTTCTTAGTATTAAATCCTGCTATGAATTAGACCATGGATGGGCAACCTATGGTCCTAGGGCTGTATTTGGCTTGCAGGGCCAGTTATCTGGCCTTTTGGGGGGTTCTGGCCTGGGATTCTGCAGTGTTTCAGTGGCAGAAAGCTTCACCCAAGTGATGAGGAGATGCAGCAGTGGCAAGTGGTAGCTGTGGGTGTGGGAGGGAGGGGGTTGAATTGGAAGTAGTTTGCCCTCAGAGCTAGCTCCATTCAAAAGTTCCCCTCCCCACTGCTAAAAACTTTGCCAGCCCAAATTAGACTACTAGAATTAAGAACCGTCTGCTATGATAAATCTTTTTTCCACAATGTAAGTATTTGTAGCTCATGAGCATGTCAGCTCTTACCTTTCCTTTTGTAGCCTGCTAAATGTTACATTCCCTTTGTCTGTCTTTTCTATTTTCCAGATCCCAAAAAATTCTTGTAGGTGTTTGCCCAGTCCTTTCCATTTTCTCAACACCCTCTCCTATTTTAGTAAAATATAGGGCACCAGAAATATGAAGTATCTGTAAAAATTTCACCTCAAACAGCAATTTTCACATTGCAAAGCACTGAAATAAATGTGAAATTTTTACTTCATTTCACTGTAAACCAACTCTTAATTTAAGAGGATTTTGCCATTCTGAACAAATGGATTCTAAGGAGCTGCATTTTTATTCCAGGCACAAAGAACGAGTTTTTCAGTAGGGCATAATTCTACTGATTTAAGCAGAGCTATGTCGATTCATACCAGTTGAGGATCTGACATCTGGAATGCAAAAATTAATTAAACACATCCATAAGTAGTATGAGAGGTCTGTAGGATTTGTTCAAGGTAAGAATTTATACCTTTCCTCTGACTCAAGTATAACTGATTATTTTAACCTGCTTTTGACTAATTGCTTAAGGCATATTCCAAGGCACACACCCAAACCATCTATTTAACTGTTTAGTCAAAATGACATAGGAACGTGGGGAAAGTTGATCATAGAGGTCAAAAAGTTTGAGGTACGTCCTATACACTAGAAGGTGTAAAATGAACTTTTCTTGGCCAGTTTCTCAACAGATGTTCATTAGTCCTCACGTTATACAGATATCAGGGCATCTCTGCTACGCATGAAATAGCCTTACACATTTTAAATAAGCAAATCTCCAACTGTATTTCAGAATCTCTTATTTCAGTTATTTTAAATTATAATGACTACTGTGAAAACAAAAACTTCTGATAGTCTAATCCTAAGGATGATTTAACCATATACCAGATCCCTCTCCAGCATACCTCCATAATGTGTAAGTTACCAAAACACACAAACAAAAACAAAAACAAGTTCAGGTTCAGAAAAGAGAATCTCTAGGGCTGTCTGTGGTCAGACACTGCAGTATTGTTTTGGAGGAGGAACAACATAGAGGGGAACACAAATTAAACACTTCATTTATATACAAGATGGTATTAAAATGGAGTAAAATGGATCTCCCTCAATCTCCCCACAAGATTTCCAGTTGAAATGAGAGGGGAGAAAGACAGGGTAGGTCCATTGTTTGTTCTTCCCATAAAAAAAACCCAAAAACCCAACATTAGCTTTACATAGACTCTTCTAAAATGATACATATCAATGGCTAACTTGGATCTCCTCACAGTGTATATATAGTTAGGGTTATTCCCCCCCACCCCATGTGCTTTGCACTTATCAAATGTTGAGTTTCATCTGCTACTTTGCCTAACTGTTTAATTCTGCAAGATCTTTCTGTCTTTGTAGCAGATACAAAATTATGCCAGGTAGTCAAATCCAAAAGCTGATGGCAACCTGCCAGCTCTCTATTAACACCCTTTTTGAAATCATTTACACTGTTTCATAACATGTTCATAAAACACAGCACAGATCCCTGGGAGACTCCATTCTTTGCCTGCCCTCCACCATGAAAAGTGAACATTTAGTCCTACTTTCTATTTCTTATGTTTAACCAATTCTTGTTTCATAAGAGGACCTCCCCTTTGCTCTCATGACAGCTTAGTTTCTTTCAGAGCCAGTGGTAAAGGACCTTAGCAAAAGCTTTTTGAAAATCTAAATATATTTTATCAACTGCATCTCCCTTTGTTCTACTTGTTTGTCAACACTCTTAAAGTAAACTTTCTTTTGGAGTGAGCTAAAAAAAATCTCCACTAGTTCTCCTGAATGCTTTACCTAGTTTTAAAGCCATATTAGGTAGACTGAGTTTCTGCCAGATAGCTTTCATTCCAGCCCTAATTTCAGTTACAGACTTGATTTGTGATTTAACTGCACCATCCAAGTCAAAATGATATAGAAGCAGAGAGGAGGGAACCCTATGCACACTGAAGTATTTTCGCCAGAAACCACCTCACTTGTACTTCTACAATTCTCTTATACAGGCTGATTATATACAGAACCCAGTGGAACCCTGTACGGGGGGGAAACTAGAACAGATAAGCCACTTAAATGCAACCCCTTCTATTTCTGCAGTTTTGTTAGCATTTATTTGTGCTCTACAGATTTAAGGCTAGCTTCCATATCTCCGAAAATCATTGAAGATGTCTGGAAAGAGCATTGTGGGTTCTTGGGACATCTCAGGATTAGATCTTTTATGTTTACAATGAGTTTGAAATAAGAGCCACTCTCAGTAGTACTAGCCACTTATTGAAAACTTATTTCAATTTCATTTTATGCAATAAAGAAAGTCAGGTTTACATTAGGAACTAATTACTTGTATGTTGGTTAAAAAGTAGTCTTCATTTATAGAAGCGGAGCAAAACACATGGAAGTTGGTGGAAAAGCTTTTCTGATTCTAGTGAACTATGTAACAAGAGTAATATACCAGGTAGGAAATCAAGAAAATTGTGCAGCTGCTTTTAGTACTTGTTTACACTTGTGCCAGGGTGTTACCTTTTGCTGCTAAATACTTCTATCTTCTGCCAATTGTAAAACTGCCAACATGGAACTAAAGATCAAAGCTGATTTAAGAAAGTAAAACTCTGTTTTAAGTTACAGATTTTCAAATGTTCATAACATAATATTCCCTGGATTCCACATTATAAATTTTTGCTGGGAGGTTTTTCTGAAACATTTCTGAATAGCGAACCTTGTAATGATTTGTTTGAAAAGCAGGCAATAAAAAAAGAGTCATGCTTTAATCCAATCTGTTTATAAGGAGGTAAAGGCAAAAGTGAAAGTATTCTTCAGAAACATTTCTTAGAAAAGCAGTAGTTGAAAACTGTATACATGTATCATTCTTATTTATAAACACAAATAAGCTCTGCTAAGCTTTATTTAAAATTCTGTATATTTTTAATATAAAAAGATACCATGATGGCTATTTAAAACTTTACTGACAAATCTAAATTGCCTGTATAGTGCAGTTCTCTATTAATGGTATTCAATGGTCTAAATAACTTTGAAAAATTAAATAATTGATACAGAGTTCTTAGGCAGCTGGCTCATATTTGAGATGGTGCTATTGAATATCTGTCTTATGCCGTACCGAAAATGATTTGGTAGCTGCACATCCACAGTATAAAAGTATCCACATAGGGCCTGGATAGACATCTTTTGAAGCACTTCAAAAGGTGTACGGACAGATGTTCTTAGCTGAAAACCCTTTAAAGAATGGCCAATATGCTTCAAAAATGATCCTCAAAGGATGAGGAACATCTTTGAAGCACTTCCTTTTGAAGGAGAGCAAAGCACACGGAAGTTAGTTCACTAGAGTCAGTAAAGCTTTGCCACCATGCAACAAGAGTAATACACCAGGTAGGAAATCAAGAAAATTGTACATACATAAAACCATAATTGTACATACATAATTTCCAGTCACATCTACATACACCATGGCAGTGATTCTGAACTAGGGTGCCACCAGATCCTTTAAAGGGTTTGACAGGTGAGGAGACAACATAAGCAAATAAGCAAAAGGTGCCAGTCAGTTCACAAAAGTTACAAAGAGGGCCTCTCAAGTCCAGTGAAGGGTGCCTCAAATCCAAAAAGCTCTATGTAGTGCAAAAGGGGGTTGCTTTGTCCTTTGGCATTCTGGCGCTCCAGTTTCCTCCCTCTCTTGGGGTGGGAGGGTGGGGGAAGAACAGAATTAATAGCCAGTGAGCATTTGTGTGTACTTGGCCTTCTCTGGCAATTTCCTGAGTCTGAGAGAGCAGGAATCCCTCCATGCATCTCTGCCTCCAGTCTCCTGGCTCCAGTGGGGGAGGAGCAGGAAAGAAGAGGGACTCTGGTCTCCCAGAGCAGCATGTGGGTGCTTGGATGTTCTCAGC